TAGAAGCCGAGGCATCTGAAAGAGAAAAGTTAGCCGCCGGGTAATCTGGACGAGAAATTTGGCCGACCGGGTAATCTGACATGAGAAATGTTAGCGACCGGGTAAGCTGAAACGCGAATTGTGGGAGACTGGGTACACTGATTTGTCAATTTTTGGATGAATTTTGGATAAATTTCAGATTACCCGGTTTTTGAGATTCGCCTCGCAGATTACCCGACGAACGATATTTTCCTGCTTAGCGCGATTTCCGTCAAACCAGTTTACCCAGTCTCCCACAATTCGTGTTTCAGCTTACCCGGTCGCTAAAATTTGTCATGCCAGATTACCCGGTCGGCCAAATTTCTCGTCCAGATTACCCGGCAACGATATTTTCCTGCTCAGCAGCAACTTCATCAAAAAACTGAGAAACCAGTTTACCCAGTCTCCCACAATTCACGTTTCAGCTTACCCGGCCGCTAACTTTTCTCATGTCAGATTACCCGGTCGGCCAAATTTCTCGTCCAGATTACCCGGCGGCTAACTTTTCTCTTTGAGATTACCCGGGCGCGCAAATTTCTCGTTTCAGCTTACCCGGACGCGAGCGTGCACCTCGTCCAGAGAGCGAGCACCTGCGGCACTTGGTCCTAAGGAGAGCTCCCACTCGGAATCCCCGGCCTCGTTTGCTTGAATGACGCAGTCGTGAATCCGCACAACTTTCAGATTACCCGGCTCATCCCACTACGGGGTGATCTGGAAAAAGAAATTTCGCGATCCGGGTAACCTGGAAACGACATTTCGCCGTGTTGGGTAAGCTCGAAACGACATTTCGCCGTGTTGGGTGAGCTGGAAACGACATTTCGCCGTGTTGGGTGAGCTGGAAACGACATTTCGCCGCACCGGGTGATCTGAAACCGCTCACGCCGGGTGATCTGGAAAACGCCGGGTGATCTGCGAGGCGAATCTCAAAACTGGGTGATCTGGAAAAAGAAATTTCGCGGCCCGGGTAACCTGGAAACGACATTTCGCCGTGTTGGGTAATCTGGAAACGACATTTCGCCGTGTTGGGTGATCTGCGAGGCAAAAGGTCGCAGACGCCGGGTGATCTGAAAAACGCCGGGTGATCTGCGAGGGGAATCTCAAAACCCGGGTAATCTGAAATTTATCCATGAATTTTTTGCTGAGCAGGAAAATATCGTTGCCGGGTGATCTGGACGATAAATTTGGCCGACCGGGTAATCTGACATGAGAAATTTTAGCGACCGGGTAAGCTGAAACATGAATTGTGGGAGACTGGGTAAACTGGTTTGACGGAAATCGCGCTAAGCAGGAAAATATCGTTGGCCGGGTAATCTGCGAGGCGAATCTCAAAAACCGGGTAATCTGAAATTTATCCTTGGTAACGCGAGCTGTGCCACAGTGAAATGGAACTAGCCACAGTAGAGAGGTGTCCGTTTTTATTTATTCACGTCGCCGCCTGTGTTTGGGTTTCTATGTTTGCGATTTGGAATTTGGTATTTGTCCAACTCTTTGTTTATTTATTTATTTCAGAGAGATACAGGCGCGCGAGTTCTCTGTTTGTTGGTTGTGTGTGAACTGGTATAGGTCTAGGTAAGGTAAATTTGCACACACGAATGGCGGGGCAAAGGGGGGGCGGGACCGCTTCGCATCTCCTCCACACACCACGTACCCGAACTGTGTGAGCTCTCGTGGCTCGTGCGGTGGGTGCACTGTGTGCACAATACTATCCACGATGCCCTCATGGCAATTGGTAGGGACGACGATTGGCTAGTTCCATTTCACTCTGACACGCTAATCTTGAAAACGTCCAACGGAGCTCCGTGTTGCTCCCAGCGCCCTCCCCCGCGCTTCCTGCGGCCATGGCCGATGATACTAGTATGAGAGGTCATCTGGCTACCGCGAGCGCGACTCAACTCGCCGACGTCGTCCGATGATTGTGCCTCAAAGTCAGCCTCCGGAGGCTATCGTGGGGTCGAGCCGGCAGTAGCCGTGACATGTGGTTCCAACACCCCTCGCAGGCTTTGCCTCTGACCGCCACCGTTCCCAGGCTGCCTAATGGGATGGAAAGGAAGGCTGGGCGAGCGTATAGAAGCGTGCTCGACCTCGTCGTGGCAACCTGCACGGCAGCGCTGGTAGGCGCGATGAGCGTCGTGCCACCTGACCCGAGACGGGTCGCAGGCGTCGTACCGAGCGTGTCGAGACCGTGTCCTGATGTGATCTGCACGGGTGAGTCACGTCGGCGTCAAAGGAGCGACGTGCGACCTGTCAGAGCTTGATCTCCGATCTCAGCGGCGTCGAGTCGTCTCCGGCGCGCGACAAAGGTACATCCCCAGGACGCGCAGAGGCAGCTGCGACCCAGCCGAGTGGACGGTAACGCACCGCGCCACCTGCTGTGCGTTACCGTCCACTCGGCGGGGTCGCAGCTGCCTCTGGAAGGCACCGAGATGTACCTTTTTCGCGCAATGGTCAAAATCAAGGTTTTGTAACGCGAGCTGTGCCACAGTGAAATGGAACTAGCCATTGGCATATGTGCCCACACATGCGCGCATTGTGTCGCCCCCGCGGAAGATTGACAGCGCGGGAAAAGTAAAAAGACATCACACACGCGGCGCGCAATATGGACGCAACACACGCCAGGCCCGAGGCGGTACACTGGGCCCCGGGGGGAGACACGCCCGAACGAGCCGGGGCTCGGATCTCGACTACTCAGGATCTCGAACGGTTAACCGTCTCTGAGTAGCAGCTGCTCCCGCGTCTGGGGCTCACGCCACTGCTCGCTGTGCCCCGAAGGGGCTTCGGCCCATCAGATGAGCGACGCCGTGTCGTCGGTGCGCCGCTTGTCGGGCGAGCGGCGGCCGAGAGGCGAGAGGCGGCTCAGCGGCGAGCGGCGCGTCGGGTAGTGCCGCTCGGCGGCCTGGCGGGCCGTCCGCCGGTCCGCCGGCAGCTCGCTCATGGTGTTGGATCTCCGCCACGTCGGCGGCTTGGGCGCGCGCGCGGCCGCCGCCTCCTCCTCGCGGTCGCGGAAGCGTAGGTAGATGTGGTGGTTGTCGAAGGAGAGCGCGCGCGCCCGAAACCGCTTGCCGCGCCGCAGCTTCTCGTTGAGCATGCCCAGCCCGAGCACCTATGGGACATGTCAGGGAAGTGTCGTGGACATGTCCAGGACAGCTTCTCGTTGAGCATGCCCAGCCCGAGCACGTCGCGGGGCAAGCCGCGCAGAGCGAGCGAGAAGCGGCGCGCGAACAAGCGCTCCTCGCGGGTCCACTCGGTGGAAGCGCGGGCCTCAGTCGAGAGGGGGGTGAGGGTCGAGAGGGAGCGGTCAAGCGTGACCGGCGATGGCGGCGCCTCCTCCGCCTTTTGGGACAGGCGCATCGGCGCCTCCCCCATCGCCACCTCCTCCTCCTCCTCCTCGTCGCCAGGCCGCGCCGAGAGGAGGGCGAGGCCGCACGTCGCCAGTGCCACCCCCACTCCAAACCCCGCCATCTGCGATCGCTGCATGTTCCCAAACTCGTCGAAGAAGATGCCTCCCGCCACCGTCGTCAGGCCAATCAGCAAGGCCTGGTAACACGGCACCGCGTACGCGACCGAGGCGCCGGTCAGGGCCGTGTCGAGCAGGAACAGCTGCAGCGGGGCGGTGAAGGCCACGCCGCCAAGCGCGAAATACGGCGCGAGCGAGCGGAAGGGCGACGCCGGCGAGGTGAAGTCGCCGTCGGCCTTGTGCAGGCAGACCGCTACCACCTTGACAAACAGCTGCGACAGCGCGCCGCACACCGCGGCGCTGTACGCCGACAACGCCGTGCCCGCCGAAGTCGCAGCGGCGGTCGGGCGGATCAGCAGCACGGCGCACCAGACGAGCACCGTCGAGAGGGAGCCGCCTGCAAAGCCAGCGAAGAGCGGCCGCTGGAAGGCGGCGAGCGCGGGATCGTCGACCGCCGCCTCGTCGTCGTCGTCGCCGCCGCCGCCGCCGCCCGCGTCGTCGCTGCTGCTGTCGGCGTCGCCGCCGCTGCTCGCGTCGCTGCCGTGGGCGCCCCCAGGGCCATAGAGGGAGACGAGGGTGACACCGGCGATGATGAGGCCGGCTCCGACGACGTCGCTCGTAGAGAGCTTCTCGGTGGCGTCCATCAACCCTTCGGAGGGAGCGCGCGCTCGCGCGTGGGTGTGGGCCGGTGGGAGGAGGCGAGCAGCCCGGCGGGGGAACGCTGGGACGGCGGGCCCGCGCACCGCTCGACGCAATGAGTAGCGTGAAGACGATCGTGAGGCCGGCAAAGGGGGCGACGAGCGAGAGAGGAAGGATGCCGAGGACGTACACGTCCACCACCGTCGTCAGGATTCCCAGGAAGCAGAAGCCGATCAGCCAGCGCCAGCGCAGGAAGAAGGGTCGTTCGCCCTCGTGCACTGTGGACTCCTTCATAAGGAGGAGGCCGGTCGAGGCAAAGGCGCAGCCGAGGCAGACGAGGAAGATGCCCACCGCGTACTCCGTTGGCGTGAGGCCGTCAGGCTCCGCCATTGTTGTATCGCAACAAAAAAAACGGGTGCGGTGCGGTGCGTGCAGTCGTGTGTTTGGCGTCCTGTTGTGTGTGCCTTCGCTTGTTATTAATATCGAAGTCTAGCTCAAAAAAAACGAAGGCCCTCTAAAAAAAACGCAATTAGCCTTTCTCGCTGTACTGGCACGCCCATATTTTTTCTACTTCCATGCGCGTCACACCCTCCTTATAATCGTGCCGTCCTCCCATCCGTCCCCGTTTTATTTATTTATTTATTGGGCACGCCCTGCGAGCGCGCGGGGGGGGGGGGGTTGCGCACTGCCTGTGTTCGTGCGTCGCCCATCTCTCCTGGAGCTGCCTGCTCTCTTCATTTATTTGAGAGCGCCTTCGTTGTTAATAATAATACAGACGAAAATAAATAAATATTGAGCACTTGAGCACTTGATAGGGTCGATTCCGCATGGTACGGGACCAATATTTATTTATTGTTTATTTATTTATGGACAGCTTCTTGGCCCGCCAAAATCAGTTCACCCTCGGGTATGTTCCACATTGGGCTAAACCCCACCTGGCTTCCTCCCGCTAAATACAAAGGCCGGGCGACAAGTTCTCTCTTGCACCTCGAAGCGCAGAAAGGCTGCCAACCTCCTCTCCCATCTGGCGCTTGCGTCGGGCAGCGTGGGCGCGGCATCCGGGACGGATGCGGGCCCTTCTCTCGCGGGATCGCTGGGAGCCGCTCGGCTCCCCACGCGCCGCCGAGCTGCGATGGCGCCACCGCAACGGCTGCCCCTCCTCGGCTCCCGCCCCGGGGCTGCCGAGATAGGTGCCCCGAGCCACCGTTTGCAACATCCGCGCGGAACGGCGGTGCTGCCGACGCCCCCCCGACCGGCAAACACCATGGGAAGGGCGGTGGTGAACGCTCCACCTCAGAAATGTCGTCGTCGTCGCGCAGTTCCCTAGTGTCCGCTCGGCGGCCGGCGGCGGCCGGCGGCCAAGAATCCGGATTTTCGTCTCTCGACGCGAAGATATGGTCCCGAGTCTCACTACTCGCCCCTCCATCCTGTAGGTCCGGACCTTGCCTGCTCAGTAGCCGCGATGAATCGTCGCCCTCATCGTCCGCGGTCATCCTTTCAGCCTCAAACGGGCCAAACGACTGTCTCGCCATCACCCATCTCGCCTCTCGCGGTCGCGTCACACCTTCCCTCGTGCCGCGAGTAGGCGCGTGAGTGATGGCCCTGCCGCCAGGCACACGGCTACACCTCGGGACGCCGTGCTGAGACGGGTAGAGCCGCCCCGCGGGAGCAAAAGCCGCCTCGCGCGCCTCAGCCCGCCGGGCCCCTCGGCGGCCAGTGTGGGGTGGATACGGCGGTGATAAACCCCTCTGACAGCAGCGCCTCACGGCGTGGGCTGCGAGGTCACTCGGGGTGACCCAGGGGGCGGCGGGGGAGCAATCTCCCGCCGGAGCAGCGGGTGATATTCCCGCTACTCGCTCGAGTTTGAGGTGCGCCGCGCCTCGCCTGTGTTGCCTTCCCGGCCGCCCCAGCCGCCCTCACCGTTCCTCATCCCCTCCCCCACCCCCTCCCCCTCAGGCTAGGCCCTCGCCACCGCCGCTGCCGCTGTCTCCGCCACAGCCGCCGCCGTTTCCTCCCCCCCCACCCCCTCCGACGCCGTCGCCTCCGCTGCTCCCGCCACCACCGCCGAGCCCTCCCCCGCCCTCTCCCCCTCCGCCCTCACCGCCGCCGCCCTCGCCGCCGCCGCCCTCGCCGCCGCCACCGAGCCCGCCGCCACCGTCACCCCCGCCCCCGTCGCCGCCACCTCCCTCACCGCCACCGCCCAGCCCGCCGCCGCCATCTCCCCCACCGCCCTCACCGCCACGCTGCCAGCGCAGCCGCCGGGCGACGCGACAGCGGCTAGCGGCCGGGAGAGCCTCTCCAGTGCGGGCTGGGGGCGGCGGCGGCACTCTGCGGGTGGCGGGCGAGCAGCCGGCCGGCCGGCGGCGCGTCTCGACTCAAATTATGGGCCGCCTCTCGGCCGTGTGGCGCGAGGAGAGGGCGGCGCGCTCGGCGCGCTGGCGGCGGTGAAGCCTCTCAGAGTGGGCGCTGGCTGGCCGAGGGCGTCGGGCGGGTGCGGGGCGGCACTCGGGCCGCCGGACGGGCCGTGGTGGCCCGTGTGGCGTTCGTGAGGGACTGTTTGGGCGCCCCGGCAGCCTCCCCGCCTGCGTGACCAGGGCCGGTTTGGCAGCGGTTTGGGCTGTGTGTGGGCTGGTCGCGGTAGGGGATATAGTGCTTGTTTATGGTCCCACTCACCACTCCCGGCCAACGGGGCCTCGCGGGGCGTCCTCGTTTGCAGTAAAAGGCCTCTGCCATCGCTCAGAGTCCCAAACCATGTGATCCTCCGCGCCGCCGCGCCCGAGTAGTCTGCCAGATGCGACGTCGTCGGGGAGGGCGTCGTCGCGGGCGCCAACGTCGTCATGCGAGCCCCTACGGCTGTCCAAGGGCACGTCTGGGTGACCAGGGGCGGGGGTCGAGCGTGAGTGCTCCGCCGGGGCGAGCTTCTGGGTCCATGGGACCGCTGCCGGACCCATCCGAGAGCCTCTCCGGACACGTTCGCTCGACGGCCTAGTTGGCGGCCGATGTTCGACGACTAAAGCTCCGGACGCCGCGGCCAAAGGTCCGCCCACGGCCCCAGGGCTCGTGGTGGGTGTGGGGTGTGCCTCACGAGGCGGAGAGGCCGCGTGAACTCCCGTAGAAGCTCGCGAAGTGCGGATTTGGAGCGCCGCGCCGGACCTCCGCCGGGGCCCGCCGGGACGCCGTATGGGCCTCGGGGTGCCCGATAAGCTTAGAGGTGCGGTTTTTTTTGCTTGTGTCTATCGGTTCATGTCATGGACCGGCCCTGGGAAGCCTTTGACCGCGCGCGGAGGGTGTTACGGGGCCGTGATGATTTAGCGGGAGGGAAATCGGCCGATTTGCCCAGTGTGCGTAAGACTAAGAGCCACATACACTGAAAATGAGGCGTGGAATTGCGACCGCTTTCCCCTGATTTTGTCAGCTCTGACTGATGACGTACCGACAACCTCCATCACTCGTATAGACGCCCCAGATTTTGGCATCCATCCGATCCATGCCTCTGCCGGGTGGCCCGCCCCGACGACCCCTGGAATTGCGACTCGCCGCTTTCCTCCCGCTGGCGCAAATTTCGCCCGATGATTAATAATTAAGATTACCCGGAATACGGTACGCAATTAAGGAATTAATGAGTGAATTAATCAATTAATTGAGCGCCCTCGCGTCACCTATGACTCGATCAGTGTGAAGGTGAAGAGATGTCACCGAGCGTGCGAGCAGCTGGCCCGGGGGGGGGGGGGGAGAGAGAGAGAGAGAGAGAGAGAGAGAGAGAGAGAGGGAGGGAGGGAGGGGAGAGAGAGAGAGAGAGAGAGAGAGAGAGAGAGAGAGATACAGGGAGAGGGAGAGAGAGAGAGAGAGACCCGAGAGAGAGAGAGAGACAGAGAGAGAGAGAGAGAGAGAGAGAGAGAGAGAGAGCCCAGAGAGAGAGAGAGAGAAAGAGAGAGAGAGAGAAAGGGGGGCGGGGGGGGGGAGGCATCAGGAGCAGCATCACTAGTCCTCGTAGTCCATCATGAAATAAACTCAAAGGTCCACCACAGCCTCCAGCCTCCACCTCCACCCGCGAGCCTCCACCGCTGCCGCCCGCGACGCCGCCCGCCGCGTCAGATTGTCACGACGCGCCCATCGAGTCGCGTCGGAGAGCCGCGCCGCACCAGCAGCAGCATCTGCACCACCAGCA